GTTGTATATTCATTTTCAATTTACATTGCTATGAAAAAAATCAATGTTTCCCAAAAAATACGACGAACTCGAAATGAAGACAGTAGATGGCATGTACCGATAAAGACACAACAAAATTACAAACTAAAATAAGGGATAATTGAAAATTAAAATATCCGAATTATAAACTATTAATCAAAAGTTTTTTTAAAAAAACCGACTCGCCGGAAGGATGATCCTCGTGCTCAGGCCGACGAGGAAAGCGTTGGATCTGGAAAATTTGATTTCTAGGGTATTAATTCAATAATTTCATTGAATGGCGTACCGCATATCCGAAATTCTGATTTACAAAACTGATAATAGCATCGGAAATTTGTGACATCATATTTTTAGCAGCATTTTGCACAAAATAAAAATTTATTACTTTTGTTACCTACCGACTCGATGTCCGTGGAGCTAAGCCACTGTCGGTGTCGTTCACCGCCAAGAATCGGGCCACCAGGTTGAAGCGGGCTCTAAAATGGTTAATAAAGGCCGTTAAAACCGCCTTAAAGCGCACGTTGAGGGAGGGGCCGTGTACTCGTCCCAACGTGTACACCCTATGGACGTTGGGACCGCGCGCACTGCCTGCCAGTGCTGTGACAGTCCATTCCCCTCCTTTGCGGCGTGGGGCGCCCCTAGCCCCCTCGCCAGGTTGTAGCTGTGGCTGACTGGTAGCGCATCCGCGCTCTCCCGAGCGGGGGCCCGGGTTCGACCCCCGTCGCGGCAAAATCTTTGCTTTTTTCCAAAAAAACGTCCCTGAACGTGCCCTTTAAAACCGCCTTAAAGGGGCTCTGGCAGCAGGCCCCTTTTTCCACGATTCGTGGAAGCGTCGCGGTCGGGTGCGTCGCGGCAGGGAGAGAAAGAGCGCGCCCAGAGAAGAGACGCAGACAGAACTCTGCGTCTCTGCCCGGTCCCCAAAATGCCGTAATCGGTGTGCTGCCAGAGCCGCTTTAACTCACCAAGCAATCAGCCAGCGGCGTCTCCACAAAATAGAGCGCATTCGAGAATTCGGTTTTGTTCGTATTGTTGGAGAGGGCGAACAGGTAGACGATATGCTCCCAATCGCCACCGTATTCTGATGTCGGGCTCACCTAAAATATATAAATTCGTTTTAAAGGGATGGCGATACCAAACTTTCCTTCTTGCCCGGAAAAATTTTTTTCAAAAAAATGTGTTTCGTAAAAATTACCCAAAACAAGTTATTTTAGAGATCGAATAGAATCTCCTTTGCTGTTTAAATCAAAAAAAGTGCAAAGCGGATAGGTTGGCAAAGACACGTTTAGAACAAAAATAATACTCATTTGAAAGGGATGGTGACACATCTTTTACTTCTTGCAGGGGCAGTTTTTCAAAAAAATACGTTTCGCAAAAATTACCCAAATCCGGGTATTTTGGAGATCGAATTCAGATGCGGTGGTGCTGTCATTAAATCAAAATGCGCAGAGCGGACAGGCTAGCGAAGAAACATTTCGAACACAAAATATTCTTGATTTTAAAGGGATCGTGACACCAAAATTTGCTCCTTGCAGAGGTAAATTTTATTCAAAACATGTGTTTCGTAAAATTACCCAATTGGAGAGATTTTAAAGATCGAATCAACTTGCGCTGTGTGTTTTAATTTCATAAAAATGTGCAGAGCGGACAGGCTAGCAAAGAAGATTAGAACAAAAATAATTTGAATTGTAAAGGGGTGGGTACACCGAGCTTGACTTGCGTAAAGCCCGTTTTTTTTTGAAAAATTTTATATTTCGAAAAAATTACCCAAGCCGGCGTTTTTCTACATTTTTTGAAAGGATGGTGACATCAAAAAATAATTCCTCAGACAAAAATTGTCCACAAAAAATATATTTCGTAAAAATTACCTAAACACAATTTTTTCGAGACATTAATCGAAATGTTCGCACTAATAAAAAACGGGCAGGCTAACAGCAGGGTTCTTCGAAAGAAATATCTCTCTGATTTTTTAAGAGATGGTGACCACGAAAAATAGTTTTAGAGCAAAATTTGTCGAAAAAATTATGTTTCGTAAAAATTACCCAAACCGAAATTTTGTGGTAACGCTAATCTGTGTTGGCGTAATTAAATCCAAACTTCGAAGAGCGGCCAGGCTAGCAGGAGCTCTTTGAGAAATCTTTATCTACGATTTTTAGAGGGCTGGTGACACCAAACCTAACTTCCTCTAGGGAAAAAATGTTCAGGAAAACATATGTTTCCCAAAATTACACTCACCGACATTTTTTTGAAACGCTAATCTCTGTGTGGGTAATTAAACAAAAATAAACGAAAGGGGCAGACTAGCAGTGATTCTTTGAGAACGACTCTGACCCCAAAATAAATATTGAATTGGAAAGGGACCGTGAATTCAAATTTCCCCCGTTTTTTTTCAAAATAATATGTTTCATGAAAGTTACACTTGCGGAACGAAACTGCCGAGCTAATAGTTCTCTGGTCCCTGCTGTATCAAAAATGCGAAAAAATGGTAGGCTAGCAGTGGTTCTTTGAGAAAATGGCTACCGTATGCGCCGTAGTTGTCGCGACGGTCCTCCTTGTTGTGGGCGGGGCCAGCGACGGATACGGGCACGACCAATTGGCGTTGTCGTAACACTGATTCAGGGAAACATTTCCGCACGGCGGGATGCAGTGCTGAAAACTATTTATTTAATTTTTTTAATTAACAGGAAAATAGCCTTTATAGTTCCAATATATTCTAGCGCTAGTAAAGAGGATTTTTAATGCATGTTCCAAAGTTAAAAAAATTAGTTTTCGTTTGTTTCAGATGTTACAGAGAATTGCACCGTGACGAGTGGGTTGATCAGAATAATATACTTTTTCTGGTAGGGCCTATTGATCTAGTGACTACGCTGAATTACGCATTGCGATATTTTTTTAATTAAAAATGGCAGGTTGCAGTTATATAAATAAGTTAAAACTTTAAAATCAGGATTTTTTAATGAAAATTAGCAGGTTTTGAGCTAAATAAATCACTTGAAAACTTAGTCAAGATTTTTATAAAAATGAGTTTCATCACATTTCAAATATCAGCATGTTTTCCCGCGCCTAATTCCTCGCCTTCGATAACCCATAACAAAAAAAGGAAATATAGGAATACTACAATAATATTCGTTAGTGAAAAATCTATAAATAAATTAAATTGAAAATCCCAGGAATAAATAAATTCTAATTAAAAATAGCAGGCTTTGAGCTAAAGAAATTGGCTCGCAAACTTGTATTCAAGTTTTATAAAAATTAGTTTCAGCACATTTCAAATATCAGCATTTTTTCGCCGGGCTTAATCCATCTGGTTTGAAAGTCAAAAAATATAGGAATAATACAAGAATTTTCGTTATTTAAAAATCTATGAATAAAGGAAATTCAAAAGCCACAGGAATAAATAAATTTAATTAAAAATAGCAAGCGTTCAGCTAAATAAATAACTCGAACAACCTAAATTCAAAGATTTTTATAAAAATGTGTTGCAACACGTCTCAAATCTCAACGTTCTTTCGCGGGTTTAATCGTCTGTCACCCAAAACTAAGCAAAAAATATAGGAATCTACTATAATAATTTTGCTGTGGTGTCTGTCTGTCTGTCCGTCCGTCATGTCCCAGATTCAACTCGAAAGGGACAGGGGCTAGAGCTTAGGTCTCTTCGGATTCGGATAGAGCGTGGTCAGAAACCCCCAAACTGATGAAAAAATTACGAAAAAGTTTTAGTTTAAATTATTAAAATTAACTTTGAAAGTTTTTCCTAAGTAAAAGGGGAGGGGGATACAGTTTGGCTGATTTTGGACATAGTGAGCTAGGTCGCGCGCGTTTCGTGGATGAAAATTTTCACGAGAGTTATTTCATTCCTTTTATTTCTCCCACGTATCCGGTCGGTCGTTGTTTTAGTTTTTAAGTGGATTTAGGCTAGGGGAGGTATCGAAAGCCATCAGGAAGGTATCGATATAGTTTTTTTAAGGATTTTAATTAGGGAAGTATCAAAGCCATCCGAAAGGTATCGATATAGTTTTAAGGGGATTTCGGCTGGGAAGTATCTAAAGCCATCAGGAAGGTATTTAGTAATTTTGATGGGGATTTCGGCTATGGGGGTATCTGAAGCCATCCGGAAGCTGTATCATCAGTTTCTTAGGTAGCTAAGTTTTTGCAGGGGTGTGGCCATAGAAGGTATCTGAAGCGACCAGCGTGGGTATTGATGAAGGGGAGGTATAATGTGGTGGTGTATAACATGGAGGGTGCTCGAAGGCCAGTCGATTAGTCGCGAACCGGCTGTAATCGGCTGGTACTACAATACCTGTCGTTACCTATATTCATGTATTCATACATTATATCGTCATTAAAATCCCCAGGCATAAATCAAATTTGAATTAAACTGTGCTTTGAGCTAAATAAATAACTAAAAAATTTTAAGCAAGATTTTAAAAAAAAAATGAGTTTCATCATATTTCAAGTATGAATGTTTCCCGGATGGTTTAACCATTCTTCTTTTGGTATCAGAAACAAAAAAGTATTAAATACTGAATAATAAAATCATTAAACCTACAAACCTAATTAAAATCCATAAACCTGTTTGGCAATCTCGTAGATGCAATGGAAATGTTGTTCACTTGGAGCAGTTTTTGTAGATAAATTGACGTACTGCTTCTCGAAGTCCTCGTTCGGGATATCTGCATGAAAATTTATAACAGTCTAAGGAAACCATATGAAATTATATAATGTAAATAATTAGAATATTTAATATAGGATTCTACATAGAAATTTTATTCTATACAGGGTGCGTCAAAAAAAAAGAACCAAGTTTGCACCAAAATATCTCTTACCTCTTTGAGAATCGAAGGTACGTTACCATGCCATAATGCTTAAATATGCTGGGCATGAAGATTTAACACAACTTGATTTTTTCGATTTTTGGCGACGTACCCATACAAATGACACCCGAAAACTGTGCGTTCCGGCAAAACTTCGTTGGCATTTTTCTGAATTGCTGGTGGTCGGACACTTCCAATTTTTACAGTGTAAGTACCTAAGAGCTGCCCCTACGCACATCCGGAATTTTGGAATTTTTGAAGGTCAGGTTGGCAATTTATAGCGTGCTTAAATTTAATATGGAGAAATTTCGTAAATTTCGAATATTACAAAAATCTTTGGTGGAAACTACAAAATAAGCTGTTTTAGCATGTCTCTAGGCTCGATATAATCCCACAAAAATATCAAAAAAAATTTTCAGATCCGCGGATTTTTAAGTTTTTCGACGACCCCCTGGTCACGGATTTTTTTGGGGTGACGTCACTGAACTTTGGAAAAATATTTCTAAAATGGCAGATAGAATTTCAGTGTTTGCTTTCCTTAGTTGCGTAGGACTGTGGTCCATCTACCATGTAGACAATTTCTAGCTACCGTACCCCTTTCGAAGGGTGCCGTTTAGCGCCTCCAAAACGGTTGGTTCGTGCTATTTCGCAGACCTTTGTGTTAGTCTATAAAATTCAATTGCGCGGCTAGAGTTACTGTCATAATTTTATTTAATACTACTTAATGGGCGCGTTCTAAGATTATATTTACAAATTTATTGGGCCATCCAATCTCTCAAACGAAATTCATGAAAAGTGCAAATATACCCGAATTCGAGGCGACGTAAAACAATTCTCGAGGCTTTAGTAGCCCCGAGTTTTCTGGCATAGACTAAGCTTGGGTAGTCAACTAAAACCCATGCAAATACAAAACATTTTCATGGCTAACGAATTTAGAAGAGCGCCCCAAAGTCGACTGTTCAAAAACGTTATTTTCGGGTTTTAAATAAAATTTAACCATTAACTTCAGCCAGATCATTCCAGAATTTTGCTCACATACACTATTCGCTGCGTTCTTTAATTGTATCCACCAAACCCCCGTACCTTTTTCATTTTCAAAAATTCGATTTTCGGCCCGGGGCCTCGGGTCCAAAATCGGGCCCCGAGGAGGGTTTTCCACCTTCCCTTATAACTTTGTCATTTACCACAGAAAGTAAGCCGTTTTTTCCCTGCGTTCTCAGAATCACCCAGAGAACATTCTAGAATAGAAAAATTGGCATTTTATGGCATTTTGTCTTGCCATGCTAAAACGCGCTCCAGGCGGGTTACTGTAGAAAACAGAAAATAGCCGTTTTCTCGTTCTTTTCGCCATAGAAACGTTTCAATCTTTCAGGAAAACAAATAATAGTAGTTTTTAGTCCGATGCATCAAAATATTTAGAAATTTCCGTGGCTAAATTCAAAAATCAGTTTTTTGCATATTTTAAGAAGGTGTATGGCTAGAACTTTGCGATATTTAGCCCATAGGTGACCCTTACTAGTGTTTACCAATGATAAAATTTTAAGCGAAATCGCAGCTTACAATAAAAAGAAAAACGCGAAAAACTAAAACTACAGTATCCCTCTGGGGCACGTTTTAGCAAGCAATATTAAAATACCATAGAATCAGGTAAAATTTGGTGTTGTGCTAAAGATTATCATTCGGAGACACCATTTGCAAAAGATCAGCTATGGGCAGCGGATTTGAAGCGAGTTGCGAATCTAAACGTAAAAAGACGCAAATTAGCGAAAATTGTATTGCTTGTAAAAAATTAACTAGAGCTTGAACAATTCTAAGATTTGGGCATTACCTTTCTACAATTGTCAACTATTTATAGGCCAAAAATCAGAATTTTCGCACCACCCAATCAAGAACGCACAATTTTCGGTCGTAACCAGCGTCAATAGTACAGTTTCGTACTCAAAAATCGAAAAAATCAAGTTGTGTTAAATCTTCATGCCCAGCATATTTAAGCATTCTGGCATGGTAACGTACCTTCGATTCTCAAAGAGAAGCGAGATATTTTGGTGCAAACTTGGTTCTTTTTTTTTGACGCACCCTGTATAATAAATTTTTGAGGATAATGGTTCTCTGGCATTATCGGGGGGGTTAATTAGTCTAGAAATGTCTAGTAAATTATTAGGAAGTATTTTTAGAATCTTTTTAGTACAATAAAACTAGATTCAAAATAGAAAAACTATCTAAAAACTTACAAACTGTTTTCAAAAAGTCGAAATTTTGGCAAAAACGGCGATTTTTGGCCGAAAATCGATATTTTTGTATTTTTTGGATAAAAATTTGTAAACTTTTTACGTTTAGGGATAACAAAAAAAATAGTCTAAAAACGCGCTCCGCTATTTATTTTCGAAAAATTGCATCCGACAAAAAAAATGTGCATAATGGTGCCTCCAACATTAAACAAGACAAAAAATGTGTCGTTTTGTACATTGTTGTAACATTTAGATTTAATTTGGTAAGGGTAACGAATTTAATTAATTTGAAAATAAATATTTTAAAATTTGAGGATTTAATTAAAACCTTCTGGCGCGGCTATACAATGATTAATTATTATAAAACCAACTTTTGAAGAATTTTTGAAACATTGAATTTTCTAGTGGCAAATTTACCTGGTCTCCCAAGCAAAATCACCGAAAACGTGATGCAGCCCTCGTCGGGCACGTAGGGGAAATCCTGAAAAACAATGGTAATGTTTTTAATTAATAAAGACCCTAAAAACTAGGCTAATTTTCAAAAAACTAGGATTACTTCAACTAAAAATGGATAAAAAATTTACTTAACAAAAATGAAAAATGACTATGAAATGAATTAAAACATGAAAATTTAAAACTCGGAATTTAAATCGATAATTGAATGCTTGATTCGCTAAAAATAATTTAAAACAACGAACTTGAACTAAAATTACAAAATAAAAAGGAATTAAAAGTCGAGCTAAATCAATATTTAATTGAAATAAAATCAATAAAAATACCTTATTCAGCCCGGACTGATAATTGAAAAGTCGATTGGTGATCAGCACGACGGTGTTGTAGAGGCACGGCGTGTTCGCCACGTTTTTCAGCTAAAAATGGGGGGTACGCTAGGAAATTAAAGGATGATTTCCGGCGTTAGTTATACGGATTTTAAAAGAAACGAGTTGGACGAATTGTTATAACCAAACATTATGAAATCTTGCATTGATTTGAAACATTTTGTCTGAATTTCGATCATCTCAAATAATTTTCATATTTATCCATTTATAGGATTTACTAATTTTTCATAAATTAACATTGATTAACTTCATAAGCCCGGGCCCGAATAACATCACTATTTATCGATTTATCAAATTAATTTTTGTTAAGTTACTAACTACTATAAGTTTTTTGAAACATTTTTCTTCGATCCTACTAGAACCGCGCTTATATTGTGCCTAAAATATTTAAAAGCCGCGAAGCGATTTTATCACCTGCATGTGTCTAAAAACGACTAAACTATTGTTTTTGCAAAATTGTGTTTCACTTATTTTCGAAATCTTCTAAAATTTACCGGCAATAACGGTCTGACGGTTTCATATCAATTTATCCAAAAAAATTGTAAAAAACGCTGAATATTCAGAACTATTTAAATTGATATTGATGAAAAATCGAGCATCAGCAATCTAGCAAATTATAAAAAATGATGTTTCTTAAAGTTTTAAAGTTGCACAAAATTTCAAAGCGCATTTATTTTCCTAATTTTGTAAAAAATTTCTCGCAACAATTTTGTACCCGCACTAGTGTGCAGAAAACTTGGAAAATTTTTACTTTTTTTTTGTGGAAGTATGTTTCTAAAATTTCCAGGTTTTCTGTTAGAGCTGGAAAAATAATTTCCCAGAGGTCTCACCTCTATCAAAAAAGCGTAGCTAAAATTCGCAGACGTCGTCTCGTTCCAGAAATACTGGTCCTGCTGCACGTCGTCGTACGGTTGCACCTAAATTCGAATTTTATTTTTTTATAAATTTTTTTAAAGGTTCTAAAAACGCCCCCCGATAACCGAAAAGTACAAAAAATCACACCCATTTATCGTAGTCGACCATCGTTGTCGTGAACGTCTCGTCACAGCCGGCCACCGCGCAGCAGTACTTTACCGTCTCTTCGTTCTGCCCAAAAAATCGGGATAAGGGACCCGTTCCCGCAAAGAATCTCTGCTAGCCTCCCCTCTCTCACTCTCGCACTTTCTCTCACTCTCTCTATCTCTCGTTTCTCTCTCTCCCCCTCTCTCACACTCTCACTCTCTCTCTCTCTCTCTCTCGCTCTCTCTCACTCTCTCGAGCTCTGTATTCTTCAAAGAATCCCTGCTAGCCTGGCCTGAAAAAACATACCTTATAAAATAATGGAAATGCAATGACGGCGTACCCAACTTCCACGTCCAGACATTGATCAGCCATTTGGGCGAGGGCCGGCAAAAGCGCCTAAATATGCAGATTTTATCTCTATTTCCTCTTAGCTCTCCAATGATATCTGCTAGGCGTATTTTCCATTTTTAAATTCAATATTTTTCAAATAAATATTTTTCTTCAAAAATATGTTTCATAAATTTTCAAAAATAAAATGCTCGCATTGGATTTAATTTTTTTCGGCTTTTGTCCACAACTTTAGCTATTTTAGCGATTCTCCAATGAATGTTTCTACCTGCAAAATGTTTTCTAGCATATTATAAAATAATATGTTTCATAAATTTTTCCAATAAAAGTTTTTTTGTTCGATTTTAGTCGAGTCCAAGTACCCCTCAATAAAAATTTGGCGGTCATAACTTCCGAAAAATCGTTAAATTTTTAAGATTTTCTGCATTTGGCTGTTACCGTAATTGGGTCTATCCGTTTACCTTATCAAATTCCTCCCGAGTCACATAATCCGGGGACAGGTCGAGGAGAAATAGCACTTTACAATAGTGACCCTATAAGCACATTTTTAAAGGGCTTGGCAAGGTAGATCTCTGTTTCTCTCTCTCTCTCTCTCTCTCACTCACTCTCTCTAGCTTGCGCTCTCTGTATCTCTCTCGCTCGCTATCTCTCTCACTCTCTTTCAGTCTCTCTCACTCTCTCGCTCTCTATCTCTCTCTGACGCTCTCTTTCCGTCTCTCTCACTCTCTCTCTCTCTCTCCCACTCTCCACCCACCGTAGCATTCCTGGTGGCCGGATTCGGGAAGACATTCCAATTCTCCGTGGTGCACTCATCGGCCGCATCCGGCGGCGGCATCGTCGAGTTCGGATCGAGCGCTGAGGAGGAATTAATTGTCATAATTTATCGTTTCATTCATTTTTATATTTTCACGTTTAAAAATAAGTATTTTGAGTTATAAAAAATATTTAATAAATCAAAAATCCTATTTTTAATTGATAAAAAATAAAAGATCAGTAGATGGAAGACAATAAATTCCTCAAGAAAATTTGTTCTTGAAATGAATTTGAAACATGTGGATTTCAACCTTTTTTGAATCATTTCCGTAGCACGAATTCATACAAAAATTTTTAAAAACGCAATTATAAAAGCCAAATTTGATTTTAGAAGGTTTTTAATCATAAAGATTAAAAAAAATTCGATCTAGCCGAATTTCTACTTTTTTTTGAAATATTTGAAACATATTTTCCGTATTGCGCATTGTTTAATTTTTGTTTAACGCATGAATTTTAGGTTTCTCAAGATGACGTCGCAGACCCGGTAAAGGATGATTTAAAAAAAATTAAAAATCAAATTTTAAAAAAATTAATTAAAATTAAAAAATAAAATTTTTTGAACGGTAAAAAATTCGAAACATAACATTTGAAAGCGAATTTGAAATTTGAAAGTTTTTTGGATTTATTTTCACCCGAAATTATTCTTAACCCACCACAGTACCTCGCCGGCGATGCGACGACGCGTTGAGGGCCAGAAGACGACGAACAGCCCAGTAGAACATATCTGCCGGGCAGCTGAGCCATCGCCACGCATTCGGCTAGGCCCCCGGGCTGCGCTGGAAATCAATAAAAATAATGATAATTGAATAAATTGACCGTGACAAAGCAAAGTAGACTTAGGCTTGGTTAGGCTTGGGCTTCGCTCGGCCGTAAAAACAAAATTTAAAAAACGAAAAATTCATGCCATAAATCAACCTAAATACCAAAATAAATGGAAAAAATGGCACACTAGGGGCATTTAAATTCGACAAACAATTTTTTCGTCTAAAGGGACCAGAAATTTTAGAAATTTTCAAACGTAAAGGCCCGGATGCCAGAGATTTTTATGAATTCAGCATTGCAAAAATTGTGAACTATTAAAGCTATTTAACGTCGCAAATCGCTCGAATCAATTAAAAAATTTAATTAAGCAGAGTTGCTTTACAAGCCGGCCTCAAATCCGGGTAATTTACTCACGAATTCTTGAGGTGTAATGACCACGACGCGACCACCCTTGTCTCTAGAATTGGACGAAACATGTTTTTCGCAAAAAAATTTCTGGGTAGGCCTCGTGGGAATTGAGACACCGTAATTTGTTTCACATAGGCAAGATAAATTTAAATATACCGATCCAAATTATTATTAAAAATATTATATCCTACTATATATAAAAAAATAGTGTCTGTGTGTGTGTCTGTGTGTGCCACTTTGCATCCACTTCCGTCTGTCTGTCCGGAGGATATCTCGATAGGGGAGGAATTTTAAGGTATGCATGATACGTCATTAGGTGCGCAATGGCCAGGAGATGACTGCACGCATATTAGATTCAACAAAATCACCTATTTTCGACATTAAATTTAACTTTTTGTGAAAACTTCTTTGTTAGGCATAATTAGCATTGACCGGAAGTTGGGATTCGACTATAAAAAAAGGATAGGAGAGGTTGTTTTTCATTTTTTGGCATGAGAATTTAGGACAATTATGCAAATTGAAGGATAAAATGTGGCCAGACGGGGCCAGGGTTGAAAAGTCGCGAAGCGGCTTTTCAACCCTGGTAATATATTATTAAAGCAAGGCCCTTATCTGGAAAATGCCCAAAAAATCCCGGCGATCAGAAAATTCCCCCGAAAAGCTTGTATTTTTTGCTAGGCAGTTCGGTGCTACAATTAATTTAATTATTATAATTTAAACGATTATATTCACGCCAAAGATCGACGACGGCGAAAAAAAGAAAAAAATCTGTCAGAAACCAGAAAATGCAGCCGGATAGCCATTTTTTTTCTAGGCAATTCTTCGAAACATCAAATTTTTCAAAAATTCTTCAATATCTAATTTTGTTTTTATGCGACGAATTGATTTGAGAATAGTAAAATTATTTAAATTAGTCAATTAACGAGGCAAATTGGCTAAATCCCGAAAAATGCCCAAAAATCGATATGTTGGCCGGGGGCTTATCGGCCGTTTTTGGTGGGCTTGGCCGGGGGGATGAGCCGCCGAATTACAAGCTTCTTTTTGCACCCAGCAAATCATTTATCAGCTGAGTTGAAAAAAATTGGTTAAAAACGAAACGGGGCAGGCTAGCAGAGATTCTTTGAGGAATTTTGAAAAATTGGTTTTTCGCAGATCTAAATTTTTTCCAAGGGTACAAAATTTCTACTAAAATATCAGGAAATGTTTCTAAACAATTCTTGGTGTTCTAAGCGTAAAAAACTTTATAAAAACTAGAAAAAACAAACAAGTTGAAATTTTTCGACCAAAAGGCTCGATTTTTATGAAAATTCAAAATTACTTTATTATCCGAGCTACAGTAACAACAGTATCACCCCCTCTCTCTCATCCCAAATGATCTCTGCTAGCCTGCCCCCTCCCCCTCTCTCTCATCCCAAATGATCTCTGCTAGCCTGCCCCCTCCCCTCTCTCTCATCCCAAATGATCTCTGCTAGCCTGCCCCTCCCCCTCTCTCTCATCCCAAATGATCTCTGCTAGCCTGCCCCCTCCCCCTCTCTCTCATCCCAAATGATCTCTGCTAGCCTGCCCCCCTCCCCCTCTCTCTCATCCCAAATGATCTCTGCTAGCCTGCCCCCTCCCCTCTCTCTCATCCCAAATGATCTCTGCTAGCCTGCCCCCTCCCCCCTCTCTCATCCCAAATGATCTCTGCTAGCCTGCCCCCTCCCCCTCTCTCTCATCCCAAATGATCTCTGCTAGCCTGCCCCCTCCCCCTCTCTCTCATCCCAAATGATCTCTGCTAGCCTGCCCCTCCCCCTCTCTCTCATCCCAAATGATCTCTGCTAGCCTGCCCCTCCCCCCTCTCTCTCATCCCAAATGATCTCTGCTAGCCTGCCCCCTCCCCCTCTCTCTCATCCCAAATGATCTCTGCTAGCCTGCCCCCTCCCCCTCTCTCTCATCCCAAATGATCTCTGCTAGCCTGCCCCCTCCCCCCTCTCTCTCATCCCAAATGATCCCTGTCAGCCTGCCCCCCATTAAAGGTACAGTAACACCAAGTGACATCACAGCCACCCAAATTCGGAGGATCAATGCAGCAAAAAGGAGCGTTGTTGTATTGGTTGGGAAGGTGTGAGACGGACGGTGCTCTATTAGGGGTGATAAGGGGCTCTTCGCCGTCTTCTTCATCTTTCTCTACAATGGCTTGTCCCTTCGGTCATTTCATGGCCCTTTATGGCCCATTCCGACACACTACTACCCAATTTGCCACCACCCAGCCAGAGTCAGCCCCGTGATAACAGCCGATGTGGGCCCCCCAAAAATGGGTTGAGTTGAGAGGGTTTGGAAATGCCGGGGGACTGGCAGAGATTTTTTGGGGAAACGAGGGGATGAGAGAAAGAAAGAGAAGGGAGATAAGGGAGAGAGAGAGAGAGAGCGAGCGCGCGAGAGAGTGAGAGAGAGCGAGAGAGAGCGATAGAGAAACATAACGAGAGAGCGAGAGAGAGAGAGCGAGTGTGAGAGCGAGAGGGACGGGGAGAGAGTGAGGGAGCGAGAGCGAGAAAGAGCGAGAGAGCGAGAGATAGAGAGAGATAGAGAGAGATAGAGAGAGAGAGATAGAGAGAAAGAGAGAGCGAGAGAGAGAGAGAGATAGAGAGAGATAGAGAGAGAGATAGAGAGAGAGAGAGAAAGAGCGAGATAGAGAGAGAAAGAGAGAGAGCGAGAGAGAGAGAGAGAGAGAGAGAGAGAGAGGAGAGAGAGAGAGAGAGAGAGAGAGAGAGAGAGAGAGAGAGAGAGAGAGAGAGAGAAAGAGAGAGAGAGAGAGAGAGAGAGAGAGAGAGAGAGAGAGAGAGAGAGAGAGAGAGAGCGAGAGAGAGAGAGAGAGAGAGAGAGAGAGAGAGAGAGAGAGAGAGAGAGAGAGAGAGAGAGAGAGAGAGAGAGAGAGAGAGAGAGAGAGAGAGAGAGAGAGACTAACTGTTCAGAAAGTGTCAAAACTACATCAGCGATCCTTGTTGGCAACTGTGTGAAAAGTGGCCACTGTCCGGTGTGCTATTGGTGGTCAGGTGTCGCGTACAATGCTTATTTTTATTCTGTGGTGGGTTCGCCGGGCTAGACGGTGGCCCAGATGGCCATGAGGATGCATATGAGCTGCACCACTCCGCTCCCCGGACTGGCGGCAGACGACGCCTGTAAAGAATGTATTTCTATAATGTCTTGAGTCGTTTTTCATTGCTAAAATTTCGAAAATATCTTTGAAAATTTTTCCTCTTTCCATTTTCGATCATTTTCATACATTTTTGGCCAAAAAATCCAAAATTTGTGAAAATCATGGGTTTTTTTTGTATCAAAAAACTATGGAAAAGGCGATAAAGATGGTTAGAATTTGTTTTTTTTTTGCCCAAATAGCGGTCCGCAGCCGATGACGATTTTTACGATTTAGGTATCTATCGAAAGCTCTCGAAAAGGCGAGAAAACCAGGAGGGTTCATTTTCTTTATTATGCCTTTTTCTTCGCTAATTTGAAGTCCAAAGACCATGCAAACTGCTGATTTATGCAGGATCTGTATGCTAATTGCCAAATTCCGGTAGAAAAGTACCATTCGTAAGTAGCAGGATTTAATCTTAGAAAACGAGTCTCGAATTGTAGTCTCGCCCTTTCGAGAGCTTTCGATCGGTAGCTAAATCATAAATATTGGAATCGACTGCGGACCGCTAGATAGAAATCTGCCGAAATCTCAAAAAAAACAGGGCCCGTTTTATGATTTTTTAATATGAAAATTTTTCACCTGCGGCGTGTTGCGGTCCGGGGGAGCCAACGTGCTCGGGTCCGTCTCGGGGGCCTTGGTGTTGGGGTCGGTCTCCGGGGCCATCGTGTTGGGGTCCGTCTCCGGGGCCATCGTGTTGGGGTCCGTCTCCGGGGCCATCGTGTTGGGGTCGGTCTCCTGGGCCATCATCGCTGGGTGTGGACTCGGGAGGATTGCGCCACACTGAAGAACATGATCAATTCTATCGCATCAGCAGGGGGGGGGGATTTCAGGGCCCAACCTTTCGTATGGCAAAAAGCAAAAAATTTAGTTTTCGAAAATTTTCGGCCAAAATTTTAGCTAAATATTTTTTGTAAGGTTTTGTAATTGGTTTTTTCGCTTCAAGAAATATTTTGGCATGCACTACTATTAAAATACTATCTGTTTGCTTGCTAGGCATCGAAATCATCGAAAATTCAGGGGCGGACTCGCGGAGGAAGTTTTTTTTATAATCAAATTTGTTTTTAAGTATGTTTTTTTCGCGCCTTAAAAAGCTCTTGGTAAATTTTTTGGCCCTCTATCGAATGGCATTTTCAAAATATCGAAAATATTCAAAACCCCGAAAATAGTCCCCCCCGTTATTCCAGTGCTGCCCATGGATTTGGATCTATTTCTGTTTATTCGATAAAAATTTCCTTTAAATTACTTCGGGCTCAAACTAATTCTCTTAGTAAATTTTTCGACGCTCTATCAAATGGCACTCGCAAAATCCTATGTTTTGCCGGCTTTGCGAAAAGTAGCGAATGAAAGGACGTACCTGGGCCCCTGCCGGATCATTATCCGCGATGCGTTGCCACTCGGCCATCACCACCGGGTCAACTAAAATAACCGGTCATTCCGTTGCATTGTTTCACTATCCTACGATATATTGAAAACCAGTGGAAAAAGACCGCGCCTCGATGCGTCTTTTGCTGGAAGGCGAAAGACGCGGACCTGGCCCACTGATCGGAAGTAAAGTTCGGCCGATTGGACTAACGGCGGGCTATGGTTCAATTACCCAAGTTTGCGACGGAGGGTTTGCAGGGAGGGACGGCCAGTTCGCCTAAATCCGTTTCGCCTAAAACCCATTTCGCCTAAATTATGGTCATTTTCATATATACATTTTTGACCAAAAAATCACCATTTTTCGGAATACTTATAGGTTTTTTGGGATTTTCGAAACATAATTTTGTAAATTCCTTGTCAAAAACCACGTTATGAAACCAATTACATAGCTTTTAACGAAGAATTTCAAAGAGTCTCTTTAAAATCTTACGAAACTATTATAAAGCTTTCGAAAGTTGCCGACTTTTTGGTCAAAAATATATATATGAAAATGACCAAAATTTAGGCCATTGGGCTTTAGGCGAAACGGGATTTAGGCGAAACGGGTTTTAGGCGATATGGGTTTAGGCGAAACGGATTTAGGCGAAACGGATTTAGGCGAAGTGACCGGAATTCTTTGCAGGGGGTTCTCTCTACATACGCACACGCACAAACACACAATTTTCTATTCGTGTTATTTGCGACGGCAGCGCAATACGCGGTGTTAACGGACGGCTCTAATTGGAAGAACGTACATGCGCTGATCAGCCTGGGCACATCCCCTTCACGGCCAGATGCGGTCCACTCCATACCTGAACGTCATCGTTGTCCCTAATTCGGGTTATCAAGATTGTCATTAATTCGGGCTTATTCAGGTTATCCAAAGTGAGTTTTCGTATCTCGGCTGTCTTTAGACTTACAGATCGGGCAAGGATACTAAAATGTAGCCCTTGCTCGGTGAAATAAGGCTACACTACACTTGAATCGAAAAATTAGCGAAAAAGGAAAGTATTTGAGTTTAAAAGGCCGTCCGCGAGTCACCCGAACAGACCCCATTATGGCTTGGCACAGCTTTTTTTCGACCCTGTTTTTTTTGACGCCATCTGAAAGAGCATGGTCGAATTAGTAGGGTGGGATGATTTTTAAAGTTTAAAAAGTTTAATTTTGGTGTTAAAATAGGCCTCAAAGTCGCCGACACCGAAAAATTATCTCGAAAACTACTGAACCGATTTTACTGAAATTTTGCGACAATACATAATTTGGGACGGAGATCATTTCTCTAATACATTGCAACACCTGAAAATGGCAGGAACATAGGTATACCGCGTAGTGAAAACAGTTTTTGCGGAATTAGTAGTTTTACGGGTCTTCAGAGCGCTTAGCCACTAATGTTAAAAGATGCGCGCAACATTTATGCATAAAATGGTCTATCTTCCGGGGCGCTACGCGCGCCGTAAAAGCGAAAAATCGAGTTTAATGTGGCGCCAACGCACCAAATTCTGCAAATTTTTGCGGGGGTAGCATGGCCATGCTTCAGGAGCCCAAATCAGGAAGCTTGCAAAAAAGAGCAAAAAGAAATTAGCTTTCTGAAGGTAGGCTGGGATCGATCTAGAGCCGCCCCAGCGCAAGGATCCCGACCCACTACCAATGCACCACAGCGACAGCCGAATAGGCCTGCAGCCAAATTGACCCCCGGAGGCCACCCTCTCTCTTTTCCCCACTATCTCGCCTCCTCTCGCATGTCTTATGGAAGAAAATAGCCGAATTTGGTGCGTTGGCGCCACATTAAACTCGATTTTTCGCTTTTTACGGGCGCGCGGAGCGCTCCAGAAGATATACCATCTTATGCATAAATTTTGCGCGCATCTTTTAACATTAGTGGCTAAGCGCTCTGAAGACCCGTAAAACTACTAATTCCGCAAAAACTGTTTTCACTACGCGGTATACCTATGTTCCTGCCATTTTCAGGTGTTGCAATGTATTAGAGAAATGATCTCCGTCCCAAATTATGTATTGTCGCAAAATTTCAGTAAAATCGGTTCGGTAGTTTTCGAGATAATTTTTCGGCGTCGGCGACTTTGAGGCCCATTTTAACCCCAAAATTAAACTTTTTAAACTTTAAAAATCATCCCTCCCTACTAATTCGCCCATGCTCTTTCAGATGGCGTCAAAAAAACAGGGTCGAAAAAAACTGTGCCAGGCCTTGTTCGGGTCTCTCGCAAACGGCCTTTTAAATCCCCTAGAACAATGAGGCAGGGCGACTTAAGCTGTTCCCATTCAAAAATCTTGTCAAATTTGCTCGCATTTTTTGGCGTGAGGAAACGAATGTTTTACAGTAATCCCAATCAGGACCCCGAAAAAGCGCGCAAATACGTACTGCACGTGCATCCACCAGCACCCGGGGTTCGAACGGCGTTTAAGTAGCAGCCGGGAGACTGTGACGACTGGTGGTAGTGTGGCTGCTTCCAGGATGTGCAGGGTACGGTATCCGCACATACTGAAAACGGCGCAAAGAATTACTGCAATTTCTCCCATAAAGCATTTTCCCTAAAGTTCATTTTCCTAAAAATTTGTAAAAACGGGGAAAAATCACCGTCGAAAAAGTCGAATTTTTTGTTTATTTAGCAAAAATGGTGATTTTTTACATTAAAGGCCTCTGGAAAGATGGGAGCGGCCAAAAAGCAAGATGATGTGCGCCGGGCGGGGGTCGGCGACAATTTAGAATAAAGCTATTTATAAATATGCTAAGGACAAGGAAAGTCTTCCCTGAATTCCTGAAGTGTTTTATACCCTGTCCGACGATTTTTGAACCAAAAAGCGCCCCAAAAACCTCATTCCGCTCAGAACATGGCTGCCTTCTATCCAATCAGCCTCAAATTTTCATCACCGATGGGGATGGCAAAAAACTATTTTTATAGAAGTTTCTAGCCAAAAATATAGTCAATCAAAAAAGTTATGGCTATAAACCCGTTTTCTGCAAATCCAGTTGGGGGTTTTGGGGGCCCTTCCGCGATGGAAAGCGTGCATGGTATCGCCCCGTTGGGTGATACCATGCATGGTATACAGGGTGTCCCAAACCCCTCTCTCCAGCGGTCCGTGGAAGCTCAGATCGGATGATTTTTATACCATTCGAAAGCCCGCGAAAAGGCGAGAAAACAAGCGGGCTTCATTTTCTAAGGTTTATTCTTATTCGTCCGATATTCAGCGTTTTTCTGAAAAACAGGTAGCTTTTCAATAGGAATTTCGCAATTAGCATGCGGATCTCGCGTAAATCTGCCGTTTTCATGGATTTTGGAGGTAAAATTCGCCAATAAAAATACATAATAAAGAAAATGAACCCTCCATGTTTTCTCGCCTTTTCGAGAGCTTTCGATAGATACCTAAACGGCGAGAATCGGACACGTCTGGGCGCCGCTAGAGGGGGGGTTTTGGGACACCCTGTATTAGAAATATCTCATAAAACCCCCTTGCACCCGATAATGCGAAAGAACCAAACATCCACCTACCCCAATGGGTCGTTGCCGAGGCGTCGATTTTTGCATACCAAACGGCGTAGCGGGCGGGCACTTCGCCGTCGAGGTCTTCGCACACTTCAGCCTCATTCGCCAGGCACATCTTGGCTTCACCTAGACAGTATGGTTCTAGACTGTTAGCGGGGGGCGGAGAATCAAATTTTGGTCGGTCTTTCCCTACGGCCACTTATATGATTTTTATAGCATTTTGGGTACCCATAGGATCACGGGGAGGCATTATAAAATTTGCAATTACTGTCGGATTTCGCGAGTGCCATTCGATAAGGCGTGGAAAAATATACTATGGGAATTAGTTTCAGCCTGAAACAATCTAAAGGAAATTTTTTATTGACTAAACAAAAATTGAGGAAAATCTATGTATGGGCAGCACATAGGATAGCGGGGGGGGGGAATTTTCGGTGTTTTGAAACTTTTTGATATTTTGAAAATGCGATTCGATAGAGATAGATCGAAATATACAAAGAACTTTTTTTTATTGCCCGAGAAAATCGTATTTTAAAGGAAAGAAAGAATTAGGAATCTAGGACCCCACCACCACCTGCAACTTTTCAGCCATCCTTCCCCAAAAAATGGCGAAAATATCGAAAATGTCATAGAACCAAAACCAGCTTTGCCGTAGTTGTGTTTGATGCTCGAACATTTGATGCTCCCCCGCCTTGTCGACTCAAACACGCTACTGTAGGCCTGTTCTACAGAAGAAGGGCTACAGTTTTATTATTACTGGAAACCCCAGCATTACCAGACCCAGACCCAGAATTTTATGATAATCTTAGAGTAGTAGGGACTTCTACTCCAATTGTGAAAATTTTTGAAAATACTTTTTATAACTTTTTAGCAATCACAAACCACTAAAAAACTATCAAAAAAATGCATAATATCGCATCAACGGGTAGGTAGGAAAAAAGACAGTGGTTTCCCCACCCCAACCCCCCCCCCCTCCCTACGCTAACAGTCCAGAACTCGGGGAATCAATGGCCGACCCCCCGTTGCCCCTCCCTTTCAAGGGTGAAAGGCAGGTGGCCATCCACTCACCGTGGCTGTCTTCGGCGACGGAGCGACTCGCGAGGAGGAGCGTGAGGACGTTGAGGAGAAACCGAACACCTCGCATCGGAAAGAGGGGGGGGCGACAAGCACGGCGTCGTCTGAAAAATGCGCCCCCGTGCAAGCGAAACCTATGCCAAAAAAAGCTCAAAATGTCGCATATTCTTAGTGGACTGTTCTAAAATCTAAAAATATATCAGAATTTTGCGGGTTTTAAGCAAAGTGGGGGCTCTAGAGGAGGTGATCGGAATTCTAACCGGGCACATCGAATGAGAAGGACTGACAGTCAAGGTCCTTATACATCGAGACAAAATAGCGATCAACTGACTCGGCGACCTTTCGACTCATCAGAACTCTCACTCTCTCTCTCTCTGTCTCTCTATCTCTCCTCTCTCTCTCTCCTCTCTCTCTCTCTCTTTCTCCCTCCTCTCTCTTCACATTTTATATTTGCACGACTAATAGTCACCCCCCTAATCATCAGTCAACCTAATCAAAAATTAATGTTCCCCAAATTGCGGCCCCCTATTTTGGGGGCACATCATGCTAAACATCAACATAAATTCTTCAAATTTTGGACGCCTCGCCAATAAAAATTGTTCGCTGCAATGACTAACGGATAACAAAGGCCGCCGGAGTTCGTTCTGCGGAAATGAAGCGCTATTTTCACGTCAAGATCTCCAAAGCGAGAGAATGCCGCTTTGTTTTGCGGGATTTACAGGCGAAACTACGTCCGGAATACCCTTCAAAATCCTTCTTGCGGAGCGAGGGTGGCCCGAAAAACGTTCTCGAACTTTTCTTTAGAAAGTCCCGATTTGCCGGACGCTCCTATATTAGTGAAACCGATCGATATTTTGTACGCTTTCCATCGCGTAAGCGCCCCTAAAACCCTCAACTGGGTTTCAAGAATACAGGTTTATAGCCATAACTTTTTTGATTGACGATATTTTTGGCCAGAAACTTCCATAGAAATAGTCTTTAGCCATCCCTATCGATGGCCAAAAGTTGAGGCTGATTGGATAGAGGGCAGCCATGTTCTCCGCGGAAAGAGGTTTTTGGGGCGCTTTTTAGTTCAAAAATCGTCAGTAAGGGCATAAAACACCCCAGGAAACATGGGGGATCCTTTGCTTTCCTTTAGCAAGCTTTTCTACAGGGTGTCCCAAACCCCCCAGCCAGCCGTAGACCTATCCGATTTTTACGATTTAGGTACCTATCGAAAGCCTCGGAAAGGCGAGTCCAGCACGTCTTGCCAATTTTCGAAATCTCGAAGTCTTTCGGTCATTCACTAATGTTTTTGCAATACGGGCGGATTTTATGATGTTTTTCGGACCACCGCGTTTTTTACAAAAATCACAATTTAAAAATTTTAATGCCTTTCCTGGCAGCCCAACGACGGCTTTTTGCAAGCCCTTCGCAAGAACAGAGCTTGGATAGCGCTTAAACCGATTAAATTGCGTTTTGGTTAAAAAAGCGTGTCCTTTTTGCATGAAAAATGCTGGAAATGACAGAAAAATTTCGAGATTTCGGAAATTGGCAAGACGTGCTGGACTCGCCTTTCCGAGAGCTTTCGATAGATACCTAAATCGTAAAAATCGGATAGGTCTACGGCCGGCTAGGGGGTGATTTTTTTTGGGGACACCCTGTATAGCATTTTTCTTTATTATTATTTAGGAATGGCTTTATTTTCAATCGTTGCCCAGTAAAGCGCACCAATTCACCCCTAGGGTATTTGGGGCCCCTCCGTCGTCGTCGTCAAAAATCGTAAAAAAACTTGTGTTATTTCTGCGTACCCAGCATATTTAGCTTTTTCGCTAGGTAACGATGGTCCAATTCGTTTCCGTTCGCCCGATATTCCAGTGCAAACTTGCCTTTTTTACGACCCACCCTGTATGTAAAATGCTATAAAAATAGTATATTTTGTTATAGAGCCGTAGAGAATCACGGGGAAAAATTTGGCTGCCTCCCCCCCCCCCCGCTAACAGTCCAGAATCCGAAAATTTCTTGCTATTCTTTAACCCCCGAAACATCCATTTCTGCAAATTTCCGGCCCGCAAATCGGTTTTCAAATTCCCACGCCAAATTGCCGCTCCATAAAATGGGGGCCGATAAATCCCCCCCCCCCCCGGACGGCTACGGTATTTTACGGGTGGGAATGGCCATTAAAAATCATTTCTATAAAACCCCCAGAATTCCGGACGGCTCCACTTTGCGTCGCGCGGCGCGATGCGGCTGCTTACGGTATGTTATCAGCGTTTTGTTACCGAGAATTTAATTAATTTTTCAGCCAGAATTAACCATTTTAAAACGAAATTGACCTGCCAGTTAATAAGCAAAAATAATTAAATTCCAGCTGTAATTTTGCGTCATTTTGGTACTGTAGCGTTAGCGGGGGGGAGAACCAATTTTACCACTGTATCTTTTCTGATCTTTCTACTTTTATGCTAAAACGCTATAAAAAACTTAGAGTAGCGAAAAATACCTCTCCCCCCGCTAACAGAGAAGTATCCAGATTTCTAGGTATCGCCGCTGATCCTATTGATCGTCTACTGTCAGGATGCGGCCAAGGCCGAGACGAAAGCGGTCAGTTTCAACGAGCCTTCAATTCCGAAAGAAACTTTGCTAGCGTGCCCCTCCCTCCTTGCCCCTCTCTCTCGCTCTCTCTCTCCCTCTCTCTCTCTCTCTCTCTCTCTCTCTCTCTCGCTCTCTCTCTCGCTCTGTCTCTCGCTCTCTCGCGCTCTCTTTCTCTCTCTCTCGTCTCTCACTCTCTTTCTCTGACTCGTCTCTTTCTCTCTTTCTCTCTCGCTCTTTCTCTCTCAAACTATCTCTCTCTCTCTCTCTCTCGTTCTCTCTCCCTCTCACTCTGCCTCTCTCTCTCCCTCTCACTCTCACTCTGTCTCTTCCCTTACCTCGCTCTCCCGCTCTCTGTCTGTATCTCTCTCACTACCTCTCTGCCTCCTTCCCTCTCTCTCTATCTCTCTCTCTTTCTCTCTCTATCTCTAAATTCCTCAAAGAATCTCTGCCGGCCTGCCTTGAATTGGTATCATAATGTCGAAAATCATAATGTCGAAATTTCATAATGTCGAAATTTCATAATGTCGAAATGTCATAATGTCGAAATTTACATAGGCTAATTACCGGTGAAACCGCCAAATCCTAGCCAAAAAAAATTTTCCACATTCTTTTTTTTATCTTATTTCACGACAACATTTTTTGCCTAGAATTCGGGGACTTTACCGGGAATTTTAGCTTATGTAAATTTCGACATTATGACATTTCGACATTATGAAATTTCGACATTATGAGTTTCGACATTTTGAAAATAAGCCGCCTGCCTTTTCCGCACCTTTCTATTGCGTAATGGATTATGACCCACTGATATCGCAGATGAGCAAAGCGTGCGTGTCGCGTGCGCGTATCAGGCCCAGAAAACCTATTTTAGGCCCAGCCGAAGCCTGTGGCCCCAAAAGCCGTGATACCCCGTGCGTGGAGTGAGGTGGGTAAATTATATTCCCATTCTTTTAATTCTTTCTGAGAATAGAAAATTTCGTAAACAATTTTGCCTACTTTCAGCCAATAACCGCCCCGCTGCCTGCACCCGGGAAGATCCCTATCGCCCACGCCAGTGCGCAGGTAGAGTTTAAAGGGACCAGCAAGGCAGGGCTATGGATTTGGGGTTCCCTCCGAACCTGGCGCGGCGCGACACTCAACGGTCGCCCGCTTGCCACATGAGACAACGTGTTGCGTTCCGTGTCGCGTTGCGAGTCCCTTTTCGCGTAGCGTCGCGTGTCGCGTCGCGTGTAAGTCGCGCGCTACAATGCTACAAGGTGCGTACCGAGTTGGGTGTAGGAGTCGTAGCCCGCGTAGCGTGTCGCGTTGCGTGTCGCCGTGCACGTCGCGTGGCGCGCCGCATGTGGCGTGGCATTCACGTGGGTGTCGCGTTGCGTCTCGCGTCGCGTTCCGGCTTGCGTGTCCCGGTGCGCACATCGCCGTGTTTCGCGCTACGTGTCGCGTTGCTTGCTCGGATGAGAGTTGGGTGTCGGGTCGCGTGTCGCGTCACTTGGTGCGTTCCGTATCAACCGTGGTGCGATACGGACCGTGTTGCGTGCCGCGTTGCATGCCGCGTTGCGTGCCGCGTGCCGCGTTGGCGTGTCGCGTCACGTGCGGCGTTGAGACTCGCGGTGCGTGGCGCGCTGTGTGACGTGCTGCGTTACGCGTTGCGCTCTTGTGCGGTGTTGCGTGTCAACTTGCGTGTCGGTCACGTGGGGCGTGGCTTGGCGCGTTGCGTGACGTGCCGCGTGGGCCGTCAAAGACTTCTTTCGAAACGTCACTAATATTTTTTTAGCCAATTTCCGCACCCGGCCCGGCGTCAGGTGCCAAAATCGCGATTGCTCACGCCAGCGTGCAGGTGTGGTTTAGACATTTAAATTTTAGCCAGTTTAAAATATCTAGGTAAATTTTAAGGTTCCTAACAATTAAATTCAATAAAAATAAAATCTAATATAATAAAATAAAACTTAAAAAATCACTTATTTCTGAAAATCCCGCACTTTTCAGACGATAACCGCCCCGAGACCCGCGCCGGTGATCATCGCCCGGAATTTAGTGGTCGCCAAAAATGTGGGTCCGGCGGTTAACTTGATTTTCCTTAAAGAATCCCTGCTAGCCTGCCTTGCTGGTGCCTTTAAACTCGGATTTTAGGCTCCGAACGCATCCGCGACGCTCCAGAATACGGTGATCGCCACGCTGCCTGGTTGGTGCTCTTTCTCTCTCTCACTCTCTCTCACTTTATCTCTCGCCCTCTCTCTCACTCACTCTCTCTCCCTCTCTCTGTCTCTCTCTCTCTCTTTCTATCTCTAGCACTCACTCTCTCTCGCTCACTCGTTCTCTCGCCCGCTCTCTCTCTTCCCTCTCTCTCTCTCTCTCTCTCTCTCTCCCTCTCTCTCTCTCTCTCTCTCTCTCTCTCTCTCCCTCTCTCTCTCTCGCTCTCTTTCTCGCACTCGCTCACTCTCCCTTTCTGAATCCCTCTTTTCAGCTAACTCCACGTCTTCCGACGACCAAAAATGGGCGGAGCTTCGTGCCTGTGCTAAGCAGCACGGCCTCCTCGATTTTCTGCACAATCACACCCGCCCCGACGGGAATCACGATGGAAATGGATCGTCAGAAGGTTTGTCCTGGGAATCCGGAATTTTTGAACGTTCCTTGTTTCGTGTCTTTACATTTTTATGTTTTTCGAGTTTACAGGAGGAATAAAGTGTTTGAAATTAGCCAGAACAGAGAAAACTGCAAAGCACAGGTTAGGCTTCAGTCCTCGGTACCAGATTTCAACAGATTGCGAAGTGCCGAAAATCCGGAAAATTACAAATTTTTGAAACATTTTTTTTACGCGTTTTTGAAGCGCGAAACCAGCAATATTTTTGTTTTAATTGGATATAATTAAAGCTTTCAAAAATCAGTTTTTTGTTATCTATTTTTGTTGGTTATGGGGGGGGGGGGAGTGACCTTGGCCCCTCGATCTCCCCCCTCCTTATCAACACGCCATCTAGGGAAGCCCCCTGGTAGCAAAAATGAAATGGCCGCTTCGTTGTGTTTTCCTGTGTTTCCTGGCTTTAAATTTGATCTTTTACAAACGAACACTATTTCATTAATTCCAATAAAATTTCAGGTTCGTTATTTATACGATTTTCGTCCATTTTTTGCGTTAAATCCAAGAAATGACCGTTAATGATTTTCTCGCCGGATCGGTGGCCGGTGGGTTTTTTGATTGATTCATAGATTTTATAGAGAGCGCGCGGTAGAGAGAGAGAGCAAGCGAGAGAGAGAGAGAGAGAAAGAGCGAGAGAGCGAGAGAGCGAGAGAGGGGAGAGAGAGAGATGAGAGAGAGAAGAGAAAGAGAGAGCGAGAGAGAGATAGAGAGGGTGAGTGAGGGGGAGAGAGAGAGGCAGGCTAGCAGAGATTCCTTGCGTGCATTTTGCGGATAAATCCGGACTTCAGGCGCGGCCGGTATCTTCTTCGGCTACCCGTTGGATACCGTGAAAACACGACTGCAGACGAGCTCCAGTTATTCGGGCATAATTCAATGCGTCGGGAAAGTGCTGAAAACCGAGGGGGTTTGTCTCTTATCATCAATAATTACGACGAGACCAAAAAAAGCCCACCAAAAGTTTATTATTTTGAAAAGATATGTTTCAAATTATTTCCAACTCAATCATTTTTATATCGCAGTAATTTTAAGAATCCAGGTTTCGCGACCAAAACATTTTAAATTACAAATAATTTGGAAAAATTTAAATTTTAAATTTCGTTAATTAAAGAATTTTAAATTACAACTGATTTGGAAAAAATTCATTATTCTGAAAAAAAATGTTTCAAATTATTTCCAACTCAATCATTTTTATTGTAGTTATTGTATGTTCATAACTAGTTATAATTTATTTTTATTTTTTTCCTCTTAAGTTCAAATCAACGAATTTTTTACTGCCGTAATCGGTTGACCATAGCGGTTTGGAACTAAAATAATTTTTGAATTTTTATTAGGATATTTTCATCCGGTTATATTTTATTTCTTACCAGGGTTGAAAAGCCGCTACGCGGCTTTTCACCCCTGGCCTTCGCGCACGGAACGCTCAAAGTTGGGCACTTTGCATAATTCGAGCGAAGAGCGAGAGTGAACCCAAAAAACGGTAAAAGCAACCGGCCGCTGGCGCGACAAAATTCGAAATGAGCCTCCTAGCGCCTCTTATGCAAATGAGGATATTCCCATATGTTTTAAAATAGCTAAAATAAGGTATAAATCGATATTTTATTAAAAATCTGATAAGCTTGCAGTAATCTACGCCCTCGACTACCCCTAAATACTTTTCGACTGGGTCCTAAAATTGATCCCCCTTCCCGATATCTTGGTAACCCGGTTTTTTCGAGCCATTTATGCAAAGTGTCCACACACACACACACACACACACACACACATGAACTATTTTTTTATATATAGTAGGATTTGAAAAAATTAAGCATTAAACAACCAAATAAAACAGGGTTTTTGTCTTTTTTATTTTAGGGTGCATTTTTATTTTTATTAATTTATTATTTAGGTGCTAGGAATGTACAAGGGGGTGACGGCGCCGTGTCTTTTTGCCGGCATCCAGCACTCACTCCTCTTTGCCGGGTATGCTAATTAAATTGGTTATAATTTTATGAAAAAGCACTTTACTAATAAAAAATACCATTAGATCTTTGATTTATGCAAATTTCTGGATCGTTAACGGGGGAGGGGGAGCTTTTTTGCCTCTATTACGTACTGCGTTTTTATCGTTGTATTAATTGCTATTAAATCCAGGAAAATTATAAAAATTTTAAAACATACAACAGCAAAGTACGGTTTTTTAACCAAATTTCGAATTTTTAAGTGTTTTTTATATTTAAATACAGTGTAAAATTCTGAAAAAATGGCCCAGAATTTGTTAAAGTGTGGTACAGAATTATTGAGAAAAATTTAATAGTCCATGCCGAAATTGCATAATCAAAATACCCACAAAAATAACCCATAACCCCCACAAAAATACTATGCAAAAAATTCAGCATTCTGAATTTCGTAATTTTGAAAGGAAGTCATTTTTTAGGTATGCCACTACGCTGCATTTGATGCATCCGGGCGAAGCGCACGTCGAGGCGCGCAAGGACCTGCCCCTGGCCGAGGTACGCTAATTTCAATGTTTTTAATTAAATAGTAATAGTAATTTTATTATACAAAATTTCAGCCATAATTCCGATCCGAAAAGTCTAAAATTCCATTTTCTTCCGTTTCCAGATCATGTTCGCCTCATTCATCGGCTCCATCCCACAGCTAGTTCCGTCGATTCCAGTGGAAGCTGTGAAGACAAGGCTTCAGGTAGAGGCTTAGGCTTGGCTTGGCTTAGGCTTGGCTTACAACATTAAGTTGGCATTAAGCCAACCGAGCTTGACATTAAGTGAAACACGAATTTTTCAGTTTCAAACGGAGGGCTACGCGTCCGCCTCGGCCCGTTTTCACGGCCCGTGGGATTGCGCACGAAAAATGTGGAAAGCCGAGGGGATTCGAGCCATTTATCGGGTAAATTTTTCAGGTTTTAGCTGATTTATCGATGGATGCTGCCACTGAATGCAGAATTTGTTTGACCGCTGAGGCTTGAAAATGTTGAAACATTTTTTGGCTTTTTGATTTCAGTGGGGAAGTTTTTAATGGCCTCCAATTAACCTTAATTTGTATTAGTATTAAAATTGGATTTTTTTTTCTATTATTATCCCTATTATGATGCATTTCTAGGGCGGAAACGTGATGGCCGTTCGAGACTGTTTCGGCAACCTATTCTACCTGCCCGTCTACGAGACGCTACATCGATTTTTGAAGAACCAGGGCTCGAACACGACGGCTGCTCAGGTATTTGGAAACCTTAGAATACACCTTATTTAAAACAGTAAAACCCCATGGAAAATATGATGAAAAGTAACTAAAAATAAAAAATTCAATTTAATTTAGTGAACCTTGAAAATTGCATTTTAAATAAATACCGCAAAAGACCGAAGAAACGGAATAAAAAATGTTTCACCAATTTTGAAACACATTAAAAAATTTTTGAATTTGATCTTCTAAAAAAATTTTTAATGCACGTTTTAACAATTAAAAGGGCGTTTTAGTTGATAGCCGGAGGTTGCGCGGGCTCGGTTAGTTGGCTAAGCATCTGCCCCCTGGAAGTGATCAAGAGCAGGATACAAATTGCCGACACGCCCAGGTCAGTCTCTCACTCTCTCTTTCTCTCTCTCTCTCTTTCTCACTTTCTCTCTCTCTTTCTCTCTCTCTCTTTCTCTCTCTCTCCCTCGCTCTCACTCTCGCTCTCTCTCTTTCTCGCTCTCTGCATTCCTCAAAAAATCTCTGCTAGCCTACCCTTTACCAAATTTCAGATCAACCTTAGCCGTCGGTCGCGAAATCCTGGCCGCCGAAGGCTGGCGGGCTTTTTATAAAGGTTTTTTGTTTTATATAGTTAAAATAGTACTGTAAAAATTATTATTAAATAAACTAAAAGTCCGAAGAGCCAAAAAAACCATATTTTCAAGGCGGTCTCTCGATGGTGCTCCGCGGATTCCCGGTGAACGCCATCATTTTCCTCGTCTACGAGCAGTGTCTGCTTTTCATGGAAAAAGGTAATAGAAATAAATAAAAGTCAAAGTAAAATAGTAATAGTAAAGGTAAAATGAGCTAATTATAGCGGAAGGAAAAGTGCAGTTATTTCAGAAATTACTGTGGTCTAATTGTTGGATTTTCAGAAAAAACGGCCAGCTGAGCGACTGGAGAAGGCAACCGCTTACGCAATGAAAATACGAAAATCGTCTGAAACGGGTCTTAGGATTTTGCAGAGTGAATAAAGATATTCATATCCGCCGTTCCGCAAAAACTAAGGCGGGAGAGAGAGTGAGAGAGAGTGAGAGAGAGAGAGAGAATGAGAGGGTGCGAGAGAGAGGGAGAGTGAGAGAGAGAGAGAGAGAGCGACAGAGTGAGAGAGAGAATGAGAGAGCAAGAGAGATAGAGAGTTGAGAGAGTGAGAGAGCGAGAGAAAGAGAGAAAGAGAGTGAGATTATTATTCCACATTCCTATTCCGATTCTATTCCACCCTATTCCACCGAAAGCTTTTAACCAAAAGTGGCGAATTCTAGAAACATTTTTTCGATAGTTCACTACTCGGATAATTATTTTTGGTCATTTCACTGGGTTTTTCATTTCACTGGGAACACCGCCCAATTATCTGCCGGGCAATAAAGGAAATTATCCGCTGCGTACGTGCGGAAAGTTGTGGAATCCTCGCCCTAGACGTCCAATTTTCCGTCACTTTTCTGCAAAGCTGTGTCGACAAAATCTAACTTACAACTTGCTCCATTCAGGTATTTTCCCGATTTTTTTCAAAAACTACAAAGTACATCGCCAAGCAATGGCTTTATTTTTATTTCGAAAAAGCGCATTCAAATTTTGGCGCAACACATTTTTATAAACCTTTTTAAAAAGTTTAAAGCTGACATGTTTCATTTCGTTCTCTAGGGACGACCATAGTTGCTAAATTTTCTTATATCGGTAACAAATTCTAATTCCATCCTTCCCTCGCAACATTCCGACCTTTGCTTGACAAACCGGCGGGGTGATAGATTAATTTTTAGGGGCTAATTTGAGTAGGGATTCTGGAGAAGGCGGGGCGGATTAGATTGGTCTTTTCTAGCTTTCCCAAATGATCTCTGCTAGCCTGCCGAGCTGACATGATTGAATTGCCCTAATTATTGATTCAAATCAGACCATCGGAAATGAAACCTCGTTGTTGGGCTAAAATGTGAGTTGCCGCTGGCAATTGGTAATTTCTTATTATCAAAAATCGCGATTTAAAAGCCCCTTTCCCCAAATGGTCTCGGCAAAACCACACATTTTGAAAAAATAATTTTCTAGGAAAATACCATTTGAAAAATGCCGAAAGTCGAGAACGTTCGTCGAGAATAAGTTCTTATAACTCGAGAAATTCCTACGAATCGAATAAAATTAGTTTAAGAGCATTCAACTAGGTTAATAATAAATTAATGAAATGTAATTAGATTTCGAGTGGAAAACCCAGCAGGAAAAAACCCAAGCAAACCATTTTAGACGAAATTTTGGTCGAAAATCGGTCATTTTTTGTCGAAAAATCGATATTTTTTAATTTTTTAAGGAAACTTAAAACGTTTTTAGATTCAGGAACAGTAAAAACAGTTTAGGAAGCCTTCCTGTACTCATATCAGAGATTCGGATTCTAGGAAAAATCCCCCCCCCGCCCCCGATAATGCCAAAGAACCTTCGAGGTTTGATGCCGGCAGGCTAGCAGAGATCATTTGGGATGAGAGAGAGGGGGAGGGGGCAGGCTAGCAGAGATCATTTGGGATGAGAGAGAGGGGAGGGGGCAGGCTAGCAGAGATCATTTGGGATGAGAGAGAGGGGGAGGGGCAGGCTAGCAGAGATCATTTGGGATGAGAGAGAGGGGGAGGGGCAGGCTAGCAGAGATCATTTGGGATGAGAGAGAGGGGAGGGGCAGGCTAGCAGAGATCATTTGGGATGAGAGAGAGGGGGAGGGGCAGGCTAGCAGAGATCATTTGGGATGAGAGAGAGGGGGAGGGGGCAGGCTAGCAGAGATCATTTGGGATGAGAGAGAGGGGGAGGGGGCAGGCTAGCAGAGATCATTTGGGATGAGAGAGGGGGGAGGGGGCAGGCTAGCAGAGATCATTTGGGATGAGAGAGAGGGGGAGGGGGCAGGCTAGCAGAGATCATTTGGGATGAGAGAGAGGGGGGAGGGGCAGGCTAGCAGAGATCATTTGGGATGAGAGAGAGGGGAGGGGGCAGGCTAGCAGAGATCATTTGGGATGAGAGAGAGGGGAGGGGGCAGGCTAGCAGAGATCATTTGGGATGAGAGAGAGGGGAGGGGCAGGCTAGCAGAGATCATTTGGGATGAGAGAGGGGGGGGGGGGGCAGGCTAGCAGAGATCATTTGGGATGAGAGAGAGGGGGAGGGGGCAGGCTAGCAGAGATCATTTGGGATGAGAGAGAGGGGGAGGGGGCAGGCTAGCAGAGATCATTCGGAAGGAGAGAGAGGGGGAGGGGGCAGGCTAGCAGAGATCATTTGGGATGAGAGAGAGGGGGAGGGGGCAGGCTAGCAGAGATTGTTTGGGATGAGAGAGAGGGGGAGGGGGCAGGCTAGCAGAGATCATTTAGGATGAGAGAGAGGCAGATTTGAACGGCTTCACCCCCCGAAATAACTATAATATAGCTCTTCATTCTCTCACTCTCTTTATTCATTAATCGGGCTCGGGGAGAGCCCGAACTTTTCCCTTCCCGTCTTTCCTCCGGAAATGTTTACCCAGGCTTAGGTTTCCGATTCCGTCGATCTCTGGCCAGGGGGGCCTTTCCTTCGTCATCCCGGAACCAGCGGAATCATGCTACATTTGAGGAGTCTCTGCTGGCCTGCACGCTTATTGCGTTCTCTCTTTCTCTCTCACTCTCTCACTTTCTCCCGCTCTCGCTCTCTCTATCTATCGCTAACCCTCTGACCCTCTCGCTCACTCTCTTTGTCTACCATACGTTTTCTTAAAAAATTGTTTCAAAAAAGACCAAATATCAGGGCCAAGTCTCGTTGTCAATCACGTTTGCGCAACGCGTTCACCTAGAATTTCCTCAAAGAATCTCTGCTAGCTCTTTACGCTATAAATAAAAGCGGTTCTTTGGCATTATGGGACCGCCTAAATAAAAAAACGCCTTTTTAAATTCAATAAATAATTATAAAAATTTCGAGCTGATTTCCAGAGCTTTTTTAATAGTTTATGCCTTCAAATTTCGCCCGAAATTTCTAAGAAAATTCACTATCAAATTTCTGATTTTTCGAGCAATTTTTTCTTCTTTTACCTCCCTACGTATTCCTGAAATTTTAGGAAAAATCACTACTCGCTCGCCCCGATAATGCACACGAACGAGAAAAGCTATGTACCCGTTTTTCTAAAGAAATGTTTTAACAAAGTTCCATCCGCCAGCTGAAGAATTATTAATTAATGGATTCTGCAGTGACACGTGTTTGAATTTCCCGAATGACCTCCGCTAGCCTGCGCAACGCTTCGAAGTATTTCATGAAAAAATCTCTCACTCTCGCTGTCCTCTCTCCCCTCTATCTCTCTCTCTCTCTCTCTCTCTCTCTCTTTCTCTACCATTTGCTGTGCTAAAAAAAATGTTTCAAAAAAGACCAATCTCCAAGGCGAAAACTCTTGGGCAATCTATGTATGTCAGTAGCTTCTGTCTGCATTCCTCAAAGAATCCCCGCTAGCTTGCCTATGTCAATGTTTTCCTTTCTATACCTAATTCCGTCCGAGCGTAGGCGAGATTGTAGTTTCATTGTTGATTCAGGAAATGCAGGAAATGGCCCCCGTCAAGGACGCACGGCCAAAAAAGAAACCCGTCGAAAATCGCTCCCCCCTCGCCCTTAATTGAAAATAGTCAACGCAATCGCGAAAGCGCGTCAAATTGAGAACTTTTTCTACGGAAAATACGTTTTATTTGGCGGCAGACTGGCAGAGATGATTGGGGAAATTCACGACATTTTACGAAGAAGTTGCGATTAACAATTAATTTTTTTTGTCCGGATGATTGCACTTTGTTGGAACATCTTTTTTCTTCATCAAAGTTAGCAGCCTTCTTGGTTCTTTTGCATTATCGGGGGGTGCTTTAGTTCTCACTTTCCGATAAATTCAGCTAGGCCAAGGACTAGGAATGAAATCCAGCGTCTTTTAGTCCGTTTTCGACATTTTTGACCGAATTTGAAGAGAAAAACTACTGAAACAGTCTTCGAAATCAATTTCTGGTTCTTTTTGCTTATTTATTTTATAAAAAAAGTCATGGTTTAGGTAGAAAAATTGATATTTTAAATAATTTTTACACCTTTAAAATTAAATCAAATTGGTTTTTGCTTTACTCACTTTAATGTTAAATTACTATTTAAATTTAAAGTGAGTGAAACGAAAGTGAGTAAAGACATAGCAAAGATTCTTGGTGGAATGCAGTGACACCCCTGTTCGTGACGAATTAACCAAAAATTTTGCTCGGCACATCGGACTTTCCTGAAACATTTTTATGATTGCTTTGCGCTGATTGGGGCTTGGTGCAGAGAACTAGCAGAGATTCTTTGAGGAATGGACGGGGCAGGCTAGCAGAGATTCTTTGAGGAATGGAGGGGCAGGCTAGCAGAGATTCTTTGAGGAATGGAGGGGCAGGCTAGCAGAGATTCTTTGAGGAATGGAGGGGCAGGCTAGCAGAGATTCTTTGAGGAATGGGCGGGGCAGGCTAGCAGAGATTCTTTGAGGAATGGAGGGGCAGGCTAGCAGAGATTCTTTGAGGAATGGAGGGGCAGGCTAGCAGAGATTCTTTGAGGAATGGAGGGGCAGGCTAGCAGAGAGAGAAAATTCGAATTGAGCCGAAAATTTTCCCAAGGATTCGGCCAGTGGAAAACAATGCGCGTTGCCCTCCCCCTTTTTTTGGGCTGCCCCCAAAACAATCTATTCGATGGGAATTTAAATTCCAAATTTTGAGATTTTTTAAATTCTAAAAATTTTTTGAAGCTTTTGGATCTATAAAAATTTTTGAAACCTAACTTTTCAAAAATTTCCCGCTACTTAAATTAGTTTTATAGCATCAGAATACGATAATACGCCAGTTCCTTTAAAGGCTGGCCTGGCCTGCCTTGCCGGTCCCTTTAAAGGCCATTTCCACCCCATTTCTGGGCGACCGGAGGGTC